GTGCCAAGCTTGTAGCGTCATACCCAAGAAGACTCAAGGCTGTAATCGCTGCCAAATGTGCTTCAACAAAGTACTGAGTAAAGGGTCTGAATACTTATGTAAATGTGATATTTCCGATTTTTATTTTATTTGCAAAAGTATCTAAAAACCTGTTTTTGCTTTGTCATTATGAGGTATTGTGTGTAGATTGATGAGGGGAAAAACATTTAATCCACTTTAGAATAAGGCTGTAATGTAACAAAATGTGGAAAAAGTCAAGGGGTCTGAATACAATGTGTGTGTGTGTGTGTATATATACACACACACACACACACACACACACACACACACACACACACACACACACACACACACACACACACACACACACACACATACATACATACATACATACACACACACAGGTATAGTACAAGTCAAAAGTTTGGACACACCTACTCATTCAAGGGTTTCTTTATATTTACTATTTTTTACATTGTAGAATAATAGTGAAGACATCAAAACTATGAAATAACACATATGCAATCATGTAGTAACCTAAAAAGTGTTAAACAAATCAAAATATATTTTATATTTGAGATTCTACAAATAGCCACCCTTTGCCTTGATGACAGTTTTGCACACTCTTGACATTCTCTCAACCAGCTTCACCTGGAATGCTTTTCCAACAGTCTAGAAGGAGTTCCCACATATGCTGAGCACTTGTTGGCTGCTTTTCCTTCACTCTGCCGTCCGACTCATCCCAAATAATCTCAACTGGGTTGAGGTCGGGGGATTGTGGAGGCCAGGTCATCTGATGCAGCACTCCATCACTCTCCTTCTTGGTAAAATAGCCCTTACACAGCCTGGAGGTGTGTTGGGTCATTGTCCTGTTGAAAAACAAATTATAGTCCCATTAAGCCCAAACCAGATGGGATGGCGTATCGCTGTAGAATGCTGTGGTAGCCATGCTGGTTAAGTGTGCCTTGAATTCTAAATAAATCACAGACAGTGTCACCAGCAAAGCACCCCCACACCATAACACCTCCTCCTCCATGCTTTACGGTGAGAACTACACATGCAGGGATCATCCGTTCACCCACACAGCGTCTCACAAATACACGCCGGTTGGAACCAAAAATCTCAAATTTGGACTCCAGACCAAAGGACAAATTTCCACTGGTCTAATGTCCATTGCTCTTGTTTCTTGGCCCAAGCAAGTCTCTTCTTATTATGGGTGTCCTTTAGTGGTGGTTTCTTTGCAGCAATTCGGCCATGAAGGCCTGATTCACACAGTCCCCTCTGAACAGTTTATGTTGAGATGTGTCTGTTACTTGAACTGGGCTGCAATTTCTGAGGCTGGTAACTCTAATGAACTTGTTCTTGTCATAATATGGACTTTTACCAAATAGGGCTATCTTCTGTATACCCCCCCCCCCCCCCCCCCCCCCCCCACACTTTGTCACAACACAACTGATTGGCTCAAACGCATTAAGATGGAAATAAATTCCACAAATTAACTTTTAACAAGGCACACCTGTTAATTGATATGCATTCCAGGTGACTACCTCATGAAGCTGGTTGAGAGAATTCCAAGAGTGTGCAAAGCTGTCATCAAGGCAAAGGGTGGCTATTTGAAGAATCTCAAATATAAAATATATTTTGTTTAACACTTTTTTGGTTACTACATGATTCCATATGTGTTATGTCATAGTTTTGATGTCTTCACTATTATTCTACAATGTAGAAAATAGTAAAAAATAAAGAAAAACCCTTGAATGAGGAGGTGTGTCCAAACTTTTGACCGATACCGTATCAATAATATATACACACACACACACATATAAAGAGAGAGAGAGAGAGAGAGAGAGAGTAATATTTATGAATTTATATTTTGTTTTCTATTAATAAGAAACAAGTCTTTTTTTTCCTCCTCAGTGGGGCCATGTTACTTTGAAGGGAAGTGTTTGGTTTTCTTGAAAACAAGACAATGAATTATAATACAATACAATCACAATACAATCTAAATAAAAACATGAGATCAATAATAATTGAAACATCACATTATGGTTTGAACAGTGATGATGTGGAACAGTTCAACATCACATTATGGTTTGAACAGTGATGATGTGGAACAGTTCAACATCACATTATGGTTTGAACAGTGATGATGTGGAACAGTTCAACATCACATTATGGTTTGAACAGTGATGTGAACATAACGGCAACATATTCACTATATAGCGCACTACTTTTGATCAGGGCTTGTAGGAACTGGGTGCCAATTGGGCCGCAGACAGTGATAGTTGGTGAAGATCTGAAGCAGGAGAATGTAAACGTTGAGGATGTGACCAGTACATCATGTCATTATCCTGATCTACCTCAGTCACCAGAGTACCTCAGACCAATCTGACCCTAACCCTAACCCTAACCCTAACCTTTTAACACGTTGTATCAATGCCTTGTTAACTGAAGCTTTTAACACGTTGTATCAATGCCTTGTTAACTGAAGCTTTTAACACGTTGTATCAATGCCTTGTTAACTGAACCTTTTCAGCATTTCTATTGTATTTATTTTTTCAATCAAGAAAAAATATTTCAGTCTAAAACCTCTTCAGGTCCAGCCGACTAGTAATGACACAATGGATGCGTCCCAAATAGCACCCTATTCCCTATATAGTGCACTACTTTAGACCAGAGAATGGCACCCTATTCCCTATATAGTGCACTACTTTGACCCTAACCCTGTGGGCCCTTCCATAAGGCTCTGGTCTAAAGTAGTGCTCAATATTAGGGACTAAGGAGCCATAATATACATTTTGTAAACTTTATTAGACTGGACACCACTCAGCCTCTTATTAAAACTATAACAGGATTTTAAATGAAATCGCAGTACAGAGAAATTAAGGGTGGATTTAAAGGGGTTCATACCGACATCAAATCAAAATGGCCGAATACAACAGGTGTAGACATTACAGTGAAATGCTTACTTACTGCCCAACAATGCATTTATTTTTTAATAAAAAAGGTAAAATAAAACAACAAAAAAGTGTTGAGAAAAAAAGAGCAGAAGTAAAATAAAATAACAGTAGGGAGGCTATATACAGGGGGTACCGGTGCAGAGTCAATGTGAAATAACAGTAGGGAGGCTATATACAGGGGGGTACCGGTGCAGAGTCAATGTGAAATAACAGTAGAGAGGCTATATACAGGGGGTACCGGTGCAGAGTCAATGTGCAGGGGCACCGGCTAGTTGAGGTAGTTGAGGTCATATGTACATGTGGGTAGAGTTAAAGTGACTATGCATAAATAGTAAACAGAGTAGCAGCAGCGTAAAAGAGGGGGTGGGCCATGATTAGCTGTTCAGGAGTCTTATGGCTTGGGATAGAAGCTGTTGAGAAGTATTTTGGACCTAGACTTGGCACTCCGGTACCGCTTGCCGTGCGGTAGCAGAGAGAACAGTCTATGACTAGGGTGGCTGGAGTCTTTGACAATTTTGAGGACCTTCCTCTGACACCGCCTGGTATAGAGGTCCTGGATGGCAGGAAGCTTGGCCCCAGTGATGTACTGGGCCGTACGCACTACCCTCTGTAGTGCCTTGCGGATGGAGGCCGAGCAGTTGCCATACCAGGCGGTGATGCAACCAGTCAGGATGCTCTCGATGGTGCAGCTGTATAATTTTTTTAGGATCTGAGGACCCATGCCAAATCTATTCAGTCTCCTGAGGGGAGACATGGTTCTGAATGTGGATGTTGGGTACTGATTTACTTATTAAAGAAAGAAAGATGCAACACATTCTCAGAAAGAAAATAAACAATTGTACCTCCAACTTTCCTCCTTCTTTATTTTATGTTGGTTATTATTATTATTATTATTATTATTATTATTCACCAAATGTCAAAGTGAATTTTGTAACCCTGACGGAGCCAGCCCCATGTCATCCCTGACGGAGCCAGCCCCATGTCATCCCTGACGGAGCCAGCCCCATGTCATCGCTGACGGAGCCAGCCCCATGTCATCCCTGACGGAGCCAGCCCCATGTCATCCCTGATGGACCCAGCCCCATCCCTGACGGAGCCAGCCCCATCCCTGACGGAGCCAGCCCCATGTCATCCCTGACGGAGCCAGCCCCATGTCATCCCTGACGGAGCCAGCCCCATCCCTAACGGAGCCAGCCCCATCCCTAACGGAGCCAGCCCCATCCCTGACGGAGCCAGCCCCATGTCATCCCTGACGGAGCCAGCCCCATCCCTGACGGAGCCAGCCCCATCCCTGACGGAGCCAGCCCCATCCCTAACGGAGCCAGCCCCATCCCTGACGGAGCCAGCCCCATCCCTGACGGAGCCAGCCCCATCCCTGACGGAGCCAGCCCCATCCCTGACGGAGCCAGCCCCATGTCATCCCTGACGGAGCCAGCCCCATGTCACACTGGAC